GCTTTCACGACCAAGACCAGAACTAACTAGATGATGCTCAGCTATTACTATAGAACAATCTGAATGGGATGGCAATAGGAGGTCCTGGATAGAATAGGTGAAAAATGTGGAACAAAACTCAAAATTATTTTAAAAAAAAAAAAAAAAAAAAAAGAAAAGGGGAGCATTTACCCAGGAATAAAGCTAAGAAGCAAGAAGGGAAAGGAGGACGAATGGAGCCGGGAAACACAGAGAGGAGGCAGGAAGAGTGCTATGACATTGTGAGGAGTGTAATCAGTGTCACAAAACAAAGTGTGTGTTAACTGTTGAATGGGAAATCAATTTGCTCTGTAAACTTCCATTCAAATCAAAACAAAAAGTTTAAAAAAGAAAAAATCAGCTATTATTAGACCTAGGAGTTCTGGTGGCATAGTGCTTAAGGTATCTGACTGCTAACCAGAAGGCTGGAAGTTCAAACCCACAAGCTACTCCTCGGAAGGAAGGTTGGGCAAACGACTTTCTTAGTGATACCACCTTGGAAACCCAAGGAGGGGTCACTATGAGTCAGATCCAACTCGATGACAGTGCATTTGGTTTGGGTTTTGGTTCTAGGATACTTGACCTTAACCTATTATAACTACTAAGTAAACTACGTCAACTACATCACAGACCTTATTGTTTCTCTTTTGGGATTAATACCTTTAATAGAACTTTTGGTAAGAGTTTACAAATTAAGAAAGAACTGCATTTTTTGGTATTAACATTCCTTCACACTGTTCTAAACAACAATATTTTGTTTTTTCTGTTTTTAGCTAGCAGTTGATACGATTTTTGATGTATGAGTTAGAACTAATTTATATATACAGCAAAATTTGCTAAAATACAGCAAGCAGATATGTTTTAAAAAGAAACGTTTACCTACCGGGTTTTTATCAGGATGTAACTTCAACGCCAATTTCTTGAAGGCTTGTCTTATCTCTCTACTGCTTGCAGATCTGGAGACTCCTAGTAAACTATAAAAGTCCTGATCCGTGCCCACGACAATGGCCATGGACACTATTAAAAAACAGAGGACGATCCTTTTCAAGTCTCTGACGCAGTCACCTTTGTTTAACCAGACACCCATTCTTTTCCTGATTCAAGTAGATATTAAAGACACACTGCTGGTTCCAGATGATAGAGGATGCAAGTCTGAGACGTTCTGTTCACATTACTGCAAGGGTGAATCAAGCATACAAAACTTCCTCCAAAATATGTTAATCTAAAGAGAGGAAACCAGGCAGTTAAAATACACTTCAAACAAAATAGCAACAACACAATTTGTTTATCAAATAATATGGCAACTAATACACTGTCCATTAAATGGTACATGTCCACGCTTCACTGCTTCCAGGCAGCTAGATTTGTAAAAGCTCTCAAGACAGCCCAAAAGAGGTAGCAAGTGGCTGTAGTGACCTAGAACATTTAAAGTAAGAGCAGAACTCACACCTTCAGAAAAAGCCCCTGATCAGCACCAGAACACCAGGTAGGAAAAAACTATGTTTCCTTCCTTTTTCTACTCAGCTAAAGTGCTGTCCTTTGGTACTATCTTTTCCTTTTTTGACTTTTTTTTTTTTTAAACCCCATTATAGCTGTCCAGTTTTCATTTTAATCAGACTTCACCTGTGAGAAATGTCCTTTGGGAGCACAAGAAGGCAGTGTAGGTATGATTTTCCAAAGGGTCTGTACTTTTCATGTTGCCTTTACTAAAATGGCATTGAAGTATATTGTCATAATAGATAATTTACATGGAAGGCCATTTTATTTTTTCTGATTTTTTTTCATGAGGTTTAAGTAGAGACAATTTTATAAAAATGGAGAAATAATAACTGCATGTTAACAGTGCAATTATAAAGTTTGTGTCAGGTATTAATAGAAATAGGAAAACAAAAAAAGGAGTTACAGATATGCCACCTTAGGATAAAAAGAATCTTCATCATAATGCATTTAAACTTGTATACTTTAGTTTCGGAGATCTTAGTGCTTTGAATAATATAAACTTCTAGTATCCTCAGTGTTTCCTCTTTTCTAGTCCATTTCTTTTTTTTCCCTTACCTGGAAATGGTCTTCAGCTTATTCTAACCCCTTGTTTTGAGCCCCAAAATATGTATCTTTGTAAAATATACTGATACCGATGAATAAATATCGAGACTCAAAAACAGTATCAAAAAGATGAATATATTCTCAATCACCACTTTGGAATAAATGGTGCTCCTTGTCTAAGGATTGATCTCAGTCAGCGTAGGCGTGGCTGGACAGCCAGAGCAGAACTGCAGGACAAGTGCGAACTGCAAGTAAATGCAATGCGAATGCGCTCATGTTGTCACCCTTCCTGGATGGGACGCGGGGAGAGGAAAAAGATGGAGATTGGGAATAATACGTTCAACTGTTGCTGGCGTCTGTGGTCTCAGGCTGGATTAGGAAGAAGTGAGCCTGAGTAACTGAGGTTTAAGTGAGAAATTGGCAAAACGCGGGGAACCGCCGGGTAGAGGAAGGATGGTAACCGAAAATAGGATAAAGTGGCTGCGGGAGATGAGAAACGTGGAGATCCAGGCGCAGGCATCTATTTTTGCCCCTCCCTTGCCGGAGGGCCCAGGACTCGGCTGTTTCTGGCAAAGCCTCGGCCCCCAGCCCGTGCCCACCTCGGTGTTGCGGGGTCGCCTCCTGCAGCTACTCCCCCATCATCAATCTCTGGCAGTGGGCCCTGTCCAGACGAGCCCAGGTAGTGCGTACGGAAGGGAAGCTCGCACTCAGACTGCCGGCCGCCACGCTTAGGTTGTGGGAAGACGAGCCTCTCTGTATGCACGGTGAGGTCTCCTACGCTGCCAGAACACCGGTCTAAACGGCGGGGCCGGGACCGGAGCCGGGGCTGGGGCGGGGCCTGGCGCGGGGCATTGTGGGAAAGGCGTGGAGGCCAGGGTTTGGGAGGATCGGTTCTAGGCCTGGTAGACACGGCAGCGGCGGCGAGAAGGGCAATGTAGTGTTAGGTTGACGTGGCCGGCTGCGCGGATCCGGCTCCGGCTCCGGCTCCGGCTCCAACCCGGACCTTAAGGGCACGCGGATACTGCACATCCAACGCCGCTGCACTTTTGCATCCGGCAGGGTAGGAGGGATGGAGAACTGCGAAGCCCGCCCCTTCCTGGTCATATTGCCATGGTGACGGGGAAACCCGGAGGACGGGTTTTGGCTAGCGATGTGCCAGTGACCCTGAGCTTCTTTAAGGGAAGACAGGTTATAGAAAATTTGTCTCGTTGGTTGTTGGGTAACGCAGAAAAGGGAAATTTTGCGGAAAACGGAAAGCTTGACTGAAGTAGGCCTTGATTGCAGTGTCAACTTAGAGGACTGCAGAGACAGTAGGAACCTTTGGAGTAATAAAAATGTTTGAGTGTATCAACAAAGGAGTCGTAGTGTGGCAGTGGTTTAAGAGCTTGGCTGCTAACCAAGAGGTCTGGTTCCAACACCAGCTGATCCGCGAGAAAAAGATGTGGCAGTAGGCTTCCATAAAGATTTACTGCATTGAAAACCCTATGGGGGCCGGTCTACCCTTGGCTTTTAGGGGCTGCAGTAGGTGGATGGGTGTATCAACAAGGAGCCCTGGTGCCACAGAGGTTAAGCTTGACTGCTACAGCCACTTATGGAGAAAGATGTTAACGTCTGCTTGCATAAAGGTTGCATCCTTGGAAACCCTATGTTGTTGTTGTTGTTTGCCGTTGAGTCAGCCCCCACTCATAGCGACCCCTCCTTGGGTTTCCGAGGCAATATCACTACGGAAGTAGGATTGCCCAACCTTCCTTCCGAGGAGTGGCCTATAGGGCAGTTCTAATCTGTCCTGTGAGGTCATTATGAGTTAGATTTCCCTCAACTGCAAGGGGTTTGGTGTATCAACAAACAGTGAGCATCATGGAGTATTTTCTGGCTTCCCTCTCAACCAAGATAGAAACTGAGAAGTTATCCTAACTCCTCTTACTTCCTCACTTTTATATCTCAAAGATACGGTACAGAGCTGCAGCAGTATAACTGGAACATTGGAAGTAGCTACATTTGCAGTCATCGAAAGAGAACAGATTAGCATGAGGAAGATGCCTGCTTATGACATCAAACCTAACATAAAATAAATTACAATTGGTAGGTAATAATTTCATGGGTAGTATATGTCAGTGTGTAAGATATTGATGGCTGTATAGGATCCATGGCTAAACTAATATATTGCTCCAGTAAAAAAAGGAAGTGGCAAGAACAAAGCCAGAAATGTTAGAAGCAGCTTGATATGATAGTAGTTAATGTGCCAGGAACTTGTCTAAGCACACATTCTATGTGTATTGACTCAATCCTCTGAATAGTCTTATGAAGTAGTGCCTGTGTTAGACTGGGTTCTCTAGAGGATCAAAACCAGGACATTATCTATCTATATCTGTCTATGGGGGTGGGGGGAGAGAAAGAAATATTTCAAGGAAATGGCACACACAGTTGTGGAGGCTAGAAAGTTCCAAATTGAGGGGTTAGGCTCTAGGTTGGAGGCTATCCCTGACTCATGTGGTTGTAGGGGCTGACAAATCCAAAATTAATAGGTCAGATGGCAGGCTGCTGGCTTATGGGTTGGGGGAGCTGGTGAATCCCAAATCATCAGGTCATATGGCAAGCTGCTGGCTCATGGGCTAAGAACCAGAGGTCATAGGGTGATGAGTTAGATGCAGGATTGAGAGAGGTGAGCTTTGCCAGACCATGCACATATATTAGATGCACCTACATTGCTCAGGAAACTCCCCTTTCAACTGATTGGCTGCTCAGATTAGATTACAAAATGGAGGATGATTATATAATATCTGTCAAACCACTGAGAATCATGGCCTAATCATGTTGACACGTAATCTTTACCATATAGTCCACCCTTTGTCAAGTTGGCACCTGTACACATCTCCTTAAACCATATATAATGTCTAAATACAATTATTTAGGGAGCTCTGGTAGCATAGTGTCTAAGGCACTTGACTGCTAACCAGAAGGCTGGAGTTTCAAGCCCACTAGCCACTCCTCGGAAGGAAGATGGGGCAATCTACTTCCATAGTGATACTGCCTCGGAAACCCAAGGAGGGGTCTCTATGAGTCGGGTCTGACTCAATGGCACATAACAACAACAAGCGCCTAACATGATACTACTAACGTGTACAACTGAAAATGCACTAGCACAGTTTATATCTTATATTTTATAATCAGTAATGGAATAAGGGAGGGAAGAAAATAAAGATATTTGTGTGGCGTAGTGCTTAAGGCATTTGACTGCTAACCAGAAGGTTGGTGGTTTAAACTCAGCAGCCACTCCTCGGAGGGAAGATTGGGCAATCTACTTCTATAGAGATACTGCCTTGGAAACCCAAGGAGTGGTTGCTATGAGTCAAATTGAGTCAACGGCAGTGAGTGGTTTTTCTTTTTTTTTTTCTGGTATATATATCTATATGTGTGTGTGTATACACGCACACACACACACACATAACAAAGCAAGAAAGTAAGAAATAATAAAAACAAGCACAGTCCTCTCATTTCTGCAGCTGGTCATGCAGTTGTAGCTGGTATTTAGAACTATCTTCTTTCACCACCAATTCTATATTCTTGTTGCTCTCAGTAAGCACCTGTGGTATAGCAAATTACATGGTATGGCTTTTTTAGCCATAGTCTTTGTGACTTCCAACTTGCCAGGAGCAACTGAGTAGCTGATTGTTAAAGTTCCCCAACTGATGTGTTTCTGTTGAGGCAGCACAAAGTAATCTTCTGGGAAGTTTGCTGTCTCTCAGTTGTGTAGAATTCTGATGTTGGGATTAGTTGGTTTTGCCACTCTGCTAGGCTCAAAATGAGCCCTCCTAGAGGCAGAAGAATGTCTCTGTGACTGCTGGCTGAGAGAGACATGCTGCTGAGAGAGAGACACAAGAGAGAGACACACTCCTGAGAGAGAGATATGCTACTGAGAGAGACTGAGAGAGACAGCTGGCTGAGAGAGATGGCTGGCTGAGAGACATTGAGTGTGTTCCTGAACTTGAATTGTAGCCTGTTGCTTCCCTAATAAACCTCATAATCTGTGAGTTCCGTGTGGCCACTGCAGTGAATTACCGAACCCAGCAAAGAGGTGGTGGGTGCTGCGAGAGGAATGGTTGGTAACAAGGTTGGTACCATTTGGAAAATTATCCCTAGTGACCCACTTGGAAAATTTTTGCTTCCTGTCCCCATGAC